TGATGAGCCATCTAGTTTAAGGAGATGATTGAGAAAGCCTTAGCTACAGCTGTCTCACCATCCCAGGCTACTGTAAGTATTCGTGTTTGTTTTCTACAGTAAAAGCGCGTGCAAATCTACAAACACGAAAGTCATCTATTTTCAAAGCAGATGTAAATGAATGAGGAAGACTGCATATGTAAAACTGCAACGTATCCAGGCATAAGAGTATGCCATGAGCTGAATACCACGAGCACAAACCTGCGCTGAGCCTCAGGCACTGTACCCCCAAACATCCATCCATCACCAATTCCCAACCAGCAGCAGCAAACCCCATGTGCTGTTTAAGAGATGATTGTGAGAGCATTCACCCCACCCAGCACTGCTGAAGAAGGGCTCCCACGCTGAAGGGAGTCACAAATAATTAAATGTTTCAAAACACAATGGATATGACATGCTTTCAAAATAGCATCTCTAGAATCGCTTCCACTAGGGCGAGGAGCTCTCGGGAGGGAAAGGCCTTTCACTCACTTCACTTGATTACCTGTATTAAAGGGCTTAATTTCTCCGGTGCATTTCCTTCCCAAATCACCTCTTTTTGCCAACAATCATTGTGGCAGATGCTCTCAGCCCCACACACAGCCATGAGGATATGAGTTCTGGGTAGGTTTATTTTTCTAATGTGCAAATAAACAAAAACGACAAAAAAATTGTCATTACTAGGCTTAAAGTTTATCATTAAAATGCTCAATTTCTTAACCAAAAGAAATCCGACAATGGCCCAAGACTTCAACTCAAGATGTGTCAGGGCTGTCCTTGAGCTTTTGCAGGGAAATTGTTTTTCTTCTCCCAGTCTTGCTGACCAAGACCTGCTAAGCAATGGCCTTCCCTCTCCCAGTTGGATGTGCAGCCAGTTCCTGAAGGGTTTTGACACCTCCAGGGTGGGAGCCAGCTCATCTTCTGCAGGTTGAACTTGATGATCTCCAGAGGTCCCTTCCAACCCTCATGATTCTGTGATTCTGCAATCCTCAGAGCCCATTTGAGAGGAAGGGTCTGCCCAGCCACACACGTGACAGTATAAAGCCGAATAAAACAATGAAATACTAAAAACCATCCAAGAAATCAGTGCAGAACGCACAAACAAATCTATTCCCAGCTTTCTACACCTGCAGGCAGCTGTTACTGGCTTTCTGTGATCCACATTCAGAAGAACTTCATCTCCAACCCTGACATCCTAGATTTAGGATGTGTCCCATTGACAGCAGTAGTGCTCTCAGTTTTCTCTGATGGTAACCAGGTCAGGTCATCAGATTCTTCTGTATATATCTACGCAGTATGCTTATGATTTTTTGATAGTGCACATTTATACCCAAAATTCCTGTTTTTCTTAATGCTCTTAAGTCCTATAAATACACTCTCAGCTCGGACCTTCTATTTAGACAGATGCTTCGCCTGGGATTTCTCATTAAATAAATAAATTAAAAAAAAAAAAAAAACATATGTAAAGAAGTCATAGTAAGGATTACAAAGGTTTTGGGTTGGTATCGCTGAAATGTTTGTAGCACTGTGGACTTTCCCCTCGGATTTAGTATGACATAAACAGTTTTACAAGGTACAGCATGCGTTGTTTCTAGAGATAATACAGCCAACCTCAAGTTTATCGTTGCCAACGTTGTATTCCAGGTTGAAGCTCATAAGAATGGGCTGCCAGTGGCCATGTGCATGGGCAGGCTGGGGCTGGAATGTGACCGTGGGGACACGCTCAGCTTGCAGTGACTGACCGCTGTTTGTCCCCACCCACAGTGCCCTCTCTTGGAAAGTGAAAACTGGAGCCACCCAGCAACCAAACAGCTGAAAGCTCAGGGAGGGACGGAGATAAGAACAAAAGAAGAATAATTAATCATTGAAAATCCTATGTGAAAATGACTTCATTCTCAAGTGGGTATAAAACTAATATACGTGTGGGACATTTGAAGAGCACCAAAGGCTCATGAGATGCTGCAGTGAAATTTAGACCACAGCTAATTTTATCTTCTCTGATGGAATGGTTTTTCCTTTTATCCTCTGCTTTTTGAAGTTTTAGGGCAAACTCTTATTTCAACTAGTTCAAAAACATCCATTCCAGCTGTCATCTGACCAAATTATTTGGATTAGTGATAGCTTTGGGCAAAAGCTGATTTTCTGCAGCCTTACGCTAGGTAGTGTAAAGCTTGTTGCTCTGTGGGTAAGGCAATTGGTACAACCTTTTGGTGCCACAATTAGAGAAGTCTGGGGAAGCAGACCACAAGGATGCTCTCTGCCTACATTTTGGCACATCAGGAGCATATGCAAGGTGTTGGTCCATGCATTTATCTTCTCCTCTGCACTGCAGAAAGATGGGTGGCTCCCAGAGTGGGGGATTAGACCTGTTCCCACCCCAGGGGATATTGGAAGTGATAAGAATATCTAAAAAGAGCATTAGAAGTGCAGCTTATTCTCCTTATATTGCCAATCTGCCTTTCACTGAGCACTGCCTGGGAAGGGATTTCCCTCTGGATTAATTAATTCCAATTATGACCTCCCATCATCTACCCGTAAATTGGCTTGGTGTGGACGTAGGTGAGATTTCAAACACGGGCTGCACATTAAATATAAATATATATGAATGTGTGTATATTTCTGTGTGTGTACATACATACACAAGCAACTCTCTATCTGGGGCTGCAAGGCAGCTCCCATCACCAAAGGTTACTCATGTCTCCATCAAATAACAGAAGCCAAGCAAGCTGACTGAGAGGTGGAAAGAGACCTGTATACTCAATAGCAGGTGCTGGATTTGGGCCAGATTTCTTTCTTCTTGATCTGCTTTTCAGCAAACCAGCTTCAGCTTTCCTCTGTCATTGGTTTTGTCTGTGGGTTAAATTTCTCCTCTCACCTGTGTTTTCTTGATTCCAATGTGCTGTAGCATCTCAGTGAGCTCTCTTGGGGCCACAGTAGTGCCTTGGAGGCTGTCTCCAAGGCTGTTGTGCAGGACTGCGAAAACCACATGCAGCCTCCACTACCATTACCCTACACAGCATTAAATATATAAATACAGATCAGACACTGACATATGAATTAATATTAAGGTTGCTGTTTAAAATAATGCACTGGATGGGGCCTAAGGGGCACTGAGCCAAGAAAATGACTTCAAACCTCCCATCTGCAACTCACCCTGTTGAATGTGGGCTATGCAATGTATCCACACCTGGAGATTCCTGCTTCCCATACTGGATCAAGATAGGGTTGCCCCTGGTCTTGCTGTTGCTTGCCCTCAGCAGCATTGAGCAGGCTACTCTCCCTGCTAAAAAGCATCAACCTCACAGTCTCAGCAGTGAGCATAGGTTTAGTACATCTGCATTGCTTGGCTGACATGTGGCACTGTCTAAAATTATCTAATATTTTGTTGTTTGGTCCAATATTTTTTTCTTTCCACAGCTGTGCGTAGGACTGGAGAGCCCCCAAAGGGAACCCAATTTTCCATCTGATCTTGGAGACAAGGAGTTCAGGTGCAGAGAGAAGAACTTGTTCTTCCAACATCTCTGGAAGGAAGGGATGCTCCACACGAGAGCAGAAGTTTCTTTCAGAGGTTGTGACATTAATATTTCCCAAAATGCCCCCGTAAGCTTGTGGGGACATCAGTGTGGTTTAAGCAGAGTCATTGCTTCCAGCGAGTTCTTGTTGCACCAGAGCTTGTCATTTGAGGCACTGAAATGGAGGTCTCTTCTCACCTAGGATGAGTGGAGGGAGGAGATGTGGCTGTGTGTGGGTATCCGGGCCAACTAGATGGGTCAGCAGCTGAGTTTGTCAGGTATAATTCCAGATGAGATGAACCTTTAAGTCAGAGCAGATACTGGATGAGTATCTCATTGTGGAGCCCTCACAGAATACTGAAGGCTTTCAGCTCCCATTCCCTGAGGTTAGACAAAAAAACACAAAGCAGAAAACCTGGGCATCTCTGACAGAGGCGGTGGGGAACAGATAACAAAGAAAGGCCATCAGTATATGGACTATGTGTTAAAGCAGCCCAATACCCCTCAGAAACATGCCTGTACAAGAAACTGAGCATTGCCTGTGTGACACTGGCATAAAAGTAACTGCAAGTGATACTCCAAAGAAAAACAGGAGGCAGTGCTCATGGGCTGAATGCGCACTGCTGAAGTGAAGAGAAGAAATAAAGAGCAAAGTTTTTCTCCTTTTGCTGCCACAGTTCAGTTAAGACCTGTTTGTGGAAGGCTGTAAGCAACATCACTGGTCTACATGCAAATGAGAGGGCTGTAATGAGTGCCAAGCATCCTGGATTATTTGGCTTTTAAGGTTTGAAAGGGCCTGAGACTGCTGATAGATGAGACCAGAATTATTTCATTCCTTGAAAGTAAATTGAAGCCTCTCCAAAGTGCTAAGTACCACCATAGGGTTAAAAAAAACCAACAACAACAAAAAACTGTCTAGGAAGTCAGTCTGCAGATTACTGCCATGGAAGACAGAAAGCCTGTGCTTCAGTGCTGCAGAGCCAGGTTTCAGATGCCAAGGCTGTAAGAGCATTTTACAGCTCCAGTGAGCAAACAGCACTACACCTGATGACACAGGAGGTGATGTCTGGTTACTAACATGCTGAAGGCTGCTTCAGTCCTTCAGGGGAACTCAGGCTGGGAAATATGAAACGCTGGGGACTGAAAGATAGCCAGGAGAAACAGGCAGTGCTTGTGCCAGAGTAGGCAGGGCAGGGCTCACAGCAGGGCTGCGCAGAGCATTGGATTCCTCTCTGTAAGCACTGATATCCAGGCAATCCTCACTGCCTTCTGTTTGAAGTACATAAATAAATCTTGGGCATCTGGGCAGTAAATGACAGAGATATAGACACATGTATAAAGGAACTAACAAACTTGTTACACTACAGAGCTCATCACACTGAGATGTGGCCAGGACTTCACTGAGTCATAGAAACATAGAATTGTCATAGAACTATTTCTCTTAGAAGGGACCCTTAAAGACCATCTGGTCCAACCCCCTGCAGTGAACAGGGACACCCACAGCTCCATCAGGTGCTCACAACCCTGTCCAGCCTGATCTTGGGTGTCTCCAGGGATGGGGCATCCACCGCCTCTTTGGGTAGCCTGTGCTTCATCACACTTATTGTAAAAAACTTCTTCCTTACCATGCAGTCTTAATCTCCCCTCCTTTAGTTTGCGACCATTTCTCCTTATCCTGTCACAGAGACCCTGCTGAAGAGTCTGTCCCCTTCCTTCTTACAGCCCCTTTAGATACTGAAAGCTGCTATCAGGTCTCCCCGGAGACATCTCCAGGAATCTTTTATTTTTATTAAAACAACTTACTCCCTATATTATTTGACCCTGCAGTGTGACAGTGCCCAATCCATGGCAGAACTCAGGCTGTAAGGTGTTTGCTGTGGGGTAATGATATCAAGTTGGCCTACGGGCAGACAACCTTATGGAGAGCTCACATTGCACAGGAATTGCAAGCTACAGACTGGAACAACAGAGAGCTGCAAAGCACACCTGCCCATGGATTATGGAAGTGACTTCATGCTATCTGTCCAGAAGAAATAAAGTTGCAGTGAGCAAAGGAAGGTAAGACTGGAAGTGGGAAGCTTACAAATACAATTTTACTTCCAATTTCATCTCCCATGAGGCATTTGCCTCTATGAACAATTTCCTTTGAAGCCAAAGTAGTAATTCCATTAAATCCAACAAGGGCTGACTTGGGCCCCTGTCAACTTGAGAACTGGTGTTCTCACCCATGGTAACGGTGCTCTGTCTCTACTAGAAAGCGGAACATAAATGTTTGCTATCTCCAGGTTCCTTGACCTGACCAGATGGATCCATGCAGATGAAAAACAAATTCTTCTCCTTCTTGAGGAAAGGAAGCTGTGTGGAAGTGAAATATCTGCTTGCTTTGGATTTTTCACAAAAGGACAATGTAAATGGGGGTACCTCATAAAATGCAAATATAACTTCTGAGTGAGGGGAAGAAGGGTTTGACAGTATAGTCCTTCTGGAAACAATTCCAGCAGAGGATTAGGAGCTATGGATGGTATTTCCATAAGCCTTTGTTTTTGGCCTGACGATGACTCCCAGAGAAGCTAATGAAAATGCCATTGTATCCAAGAGGAACAGACCTGAGACAGCACAGAGCGAACTGCAGATCCCAGCCTTTGACTCAGTAGTGTAAATACTTTGCCTTTATAAGCAAAGATTAGTAAATTCAGGGACGTTATTCAAAATGCAATTTGGTAGCTGCTTCACCAAGCACTGTCCATACACACTGAGCATACTTATCTCCTATGGCTTTAAGACAGCTCTGTGTTGTTAAGGAACAAGGAAATAAATCACAAAAGCAACAGCGATTGGTGTTGTGGTGGGTAATCTCAGCACAAAGGGTACAAACACATTATTCCCTTTGCACTCCTGGGGAGGGCCCCCCCAGGAAGGGTGCGTGGCTGTTGGGGTGGGTTCTAGGAGGTGCAGACCCTGCTCCTGGCACAGAGACCTGCTGCTGCCTGAGAGATACTAGCTCTGGCTTCGTGTGATGCCCATGTGCTATTTCCAAGGCTGTTGGAAACCAGCGGTGGGAGGAACATAAATCCATGTTCACGTCCAAAGTCAGAAATATTACTGTGTATGGATGGAGTTTAATCCACTCATAGGAAAGTCCCTGACTGAAAAGGTATCCAATAAAGATGTTCAGAGCTGTTTAATTGAGTCCGAGAGGGGATTTTTGCAGTTTTCCACTCAATGTATGTAGTGAGGAATAGATGAGTGCAATCTATCTTAACTTGTAGCTGTAGTGGAAGCCAGGGTGGCACATACAGAGATATCCTCTGCAATTGTTCATTGTACCCACAGAATTCTTTGGGTATTGTAGAAATACAATAATGGGACATGTCAAAAAAGTCAATTCAGAAAAGAGCTAAGTCCTAAGAAACTTTATCATAGAATGACCTGGGTTGAAAAGGACCACAATGACCATCTCGTTCCAACCCCCTGCTATGTGCAGGGTCGCCAATCACCAGACCAGGCTGCCCAGAGCCACATCCAGCCTGGCCTTGAATGTCTGCAGGGATGGGGCATCCACAACCTCCTTGGGCAACCTGTTCCAGTGCGTCACCACCCTTTGTGTGAAAAACTTCCTCCTAATATTTAACCTAAACCTCCTCTGTCTCAGTTTAAAACCATTCCCCCTTGTCCTATCACTATCCACCCTTGTAAACAGCTGTTGTCCCTCCTGTCTATATGCTCTCTTCAAGTATTGGAAGGATATGGCAGAAAAGGATGAAAAGTACCAGAGATATACAGCTGCTGTATAGTTCTGGAGAGCAGTGAAAAAGAGGCAAGGCATGAGAAATGACCCAGGCTTGTGAGAGCTCATTTATTCTCATTCATTTTGGGTACTGGTAGATGGAGAAGTCTGCCACTAGCTTTCCAAGGTGAATCATGTGAGGTGGGATAGCTGCCTGATTTGTTTTAATGGAAACCTCCATGACATCTATCCTTAGCAGCACTGCATACTGTGAGAGCACCTGGAAGAGGAAATTTCTCCCTACCTGAAACCAAGAAATTGGTGAATCTGTCTGGGGCTGTGCCAGCCTTGTTCCTCTTACTTTGCTCATTATCCCCACCAAGGATCTCCATGAATCATTGCTACAAGTGCTCGAAACCTTCTCATTATTCTGGAGATAAATTCTTAGTTTGAACTAGAACACGAAGTGATAACCACAGCTGACATCAATTCCACAGGAATGCGGGTCTCTACAGCAAATGGAGTTTTCCACTCAGACTTGGCCATGGAGGGATCAGAGCAGAAAACCTCTCCCTATCACATCTGCTAGCAGTGAATGAGAAGAGGAAGGGACAAAGGCATACAGCCCTCGTGTGAACGTGAGGTCAGCAGCCATCCCAGGTCTCAATGGAAGCTGGATTGCTGTAGTTTTGAGGGTACTGTTTTCTTGTATGGTCATTGCAGTCCTCAGTTAACTTTCTTCTGAAGTGACACTTTGCATCCAACAGCATTCAGCTTCATCCTAGATTCGCTTCCTCAGCTCCATCTTCATGCATTTATTGTGAATTCAGATTCCTTCACAAATTGGTAATGTAGTGTTTGGTCCAGCAGTCCTTTGAGTTGAAAACCCCAACCAACACCCACAATAACTACCTGATGACTTCGTCTTCCTTAAAGCCTAAGCTAGTATTACTACAACCCAGAGAAAGAAGCATTTGTCAGACCAAACAGTAACGATCAGATGGAGGAGGAGTAGGGAAAGCTGTCCTCCAGATGCGAGGGGAGGCACAGTGGGAATGTGAACATAAACCTCCTTTGGGAACTGACTGGGATGGAGAGCCCTGTGCTGCTGGTTCCTGATTCACACAGCTGGAAATTGGACAGAAGAAGGATTGTACTGTCTCGACCTGAAGCAGCTGAAAAAGGATTTCATTCACACCCTGGCATTTCCATGGATCGCTTGAGCACAGGAATGGCGAAGTGTTGTTGTACAACTCCAGAGGATAACTTTTTGGACACCATCCAGTGATACTGCCCTGAATAAACTTAAATATAACTGTTTCCCCTCAGACTGGAAAATAATCTTGCTCCAGCTCTTGGGTGTGACATAGGGCAGGGCATAGATGCCTGGGGCTGGGTTCTGCATCATCACACCCTACATTTGACATAGTCACCAGTTTCACAGCTCAAGGACTCTATCCATTTCCATATGGTGTGTATTCCTGTCAAGTACTGTAGCTTGAATTTTGTCTGATGTCTGATTAATCTGAGCTTCTGCACTATGACTTCTGTCCCCAAAGTAATTTCTCCTGTGTGCCAGCACCAATGCACCGACAGAGACACTGACAGCTTCCTCTCTTCTTCAGCATGCCACCCCTTGCACATTATGATGGTGCTGAATACTGGTGACAATTCTTGGGATTTGATATCTCAGAAAGGAGTGAAATTCTTCCAAAAATAGTTCAAATCGATACTCATTTCCTTCATTTTCAAGGCACTGATCTTGTTCCCCTTCCCTGGGACAATATGGACCCTCTGGGGTTTGAGAAAGGACCTGAGCTTCCTTTTATTTCTGCCTGATCATAGAATCATTAAGGTTGGAAAAGACCTCTAAGATCATCAAGTTCAACCTACCACCAACACTGCCCACTAGACCGTGTCCCTCAGTACACATTTCTTGAACACCTCCAGGGACAGTGACTCCATCACCTCCCTGGGCAGGCTGTGCCACTGCATCACCTCTCTTGGAGAAAAAGCAATTTTCTTCGAGAACCTTGCAAGGGAGCTGATTGCAGTGAATGTTTCAGTGGGAAAAGCTAAACTGAACAGAGCATCGCTTCTAATATAAGCACTGCTCTGCCCTGCATTTGATTAAAACTTGAGCTCAGACATTAGTGATATCTTAGCATTACTTTCTTTCCTCAGAAATAGTTTTGTGGATCATAGAATCATAACATCACAAAATATCCTAAGTCAAAAGCGATCCACAAGGATCAAGTCTAACCAGGAGGCCTCCATCAGCCTTCTCTTCCCTGAGCTAAACAAACCAAGGGACCTCAACTGCTCCTCATATATCTTGCCTTCTAGAGCCTTCACCATCTTCAGAATGTAAATCCTAGACTAGCCACCAGCACGGAAGTTTGGATGATGAACACAGGACTGGCCTCCAGACTTCAGATTGGATATTAGGATGAACTTCTTCCTTTAAAGGGTGGTTGGGCACTGGCACTGGCTGCCCAGAAAGGTGGTGGAGTCACTGTTCCTGGAGGCATTCAAGAAATGTGGGGATGTGGTTCTTGAAGGATGTGGTTTAGTGGGAAATGTTGGTGGTAGCTGGACAGTTGGACTAGATGATCTTAGAGGTCTTTCTGAAGCTTAAAGATTCTATGATTCTATAGTTCGCTTGCATGTGGGCTGCACTGTCATGCCAGTGAATGTAGTCAAATCAGGGAAGCTGAGGAGTCGGCTCCTGCCTCCAGCCTCCCCTGAGGCCATTGTAGCCATGCCTCTTGGCACAGAAAAGGAACCTTGCCCTCAGTGCTGCTTTAGATAAATAATGGTTGCTCAATTCATAGTAATACGGAAACAAATACTGGGTTTTAATAAAACCAGAGTTCAACAACACAAAAGGACAAATCTGCAGTTCCACATCATTCCCCCTTCTGCAAGGTGTATGCATACCTTCAGCCAGCTGGGAAAACAACCGTGAAAGGCATCCATCCCTGAGCAACATTCCTTCCTGAGATGTGCCTGAACTCGTTCCTCCTGATGACTGCAGCATCTCCTGCCTGACACCACTATTACATCACTACACAGAGTGTGTGTACCTACTATGCCATGGACACATGTAGCAGCTGGCTTCAAAGGGCTGAGCAGTGAGAGTGGGGTCACCTGTGCCTGGATCCATCCTGGCTAGCTCTGATTGCTGGCTTGGGCTGGCTGCAGAGAGGACAGTTTTATTGTCATTGCTTTATGTTATGATAGAGCTCCTCTATCGACTCTACTATTTTTTAACCTCCTCTGACATTTAGGGGCTTTCCTATGCTGGGGATTTAATACACATTATTTGAGAATGTGAATTTAGAGAGGAATAATTATTCTTGATTAACTCCCCATGTGGACACTCTTGTTTCAAAATAAAAGTGCTTTATTTCAAATGGATCTAATTGGCTCCAAAACAATCTGGAGGTTGTTTTCTCCAAGAAAAAGGGAAAGGGAGGAACAAAAGAGAGAACATTTCTTCCCCTTATATTTGTTGAAAAATTGAAGGACTTCTGCACATTAAGAAAGTTCTAACTGAAAATTACTGTATGTTATTATGTATAATTTGCACCTCCAATAAAATGCATGCTGTTAAAATTATTGTTCCATGAAAATAATTACTCAGCAGCCAACATAATTAGACAAGAAACACAAAGTCAGAGGCAGAAATGTGGGAGGAGATGGGAAGGCTGCTTGAGGTGTGCTTAATCCTTGCACCCAAAACACTGCTGAATGTGACAAGCTTGACAAAAGCTTAATAAGAGGAGTTTCTGAGCTTTGGCATGAAATTCCTGTTCAAAACCACTACTCTCTGCACAGTACCCTTCATGTCACTGTGCTGCTAGCATTCCAAATACCACTATTCAGGAGAATAGAGGTGTTTTGGGTGCAGCTTGGGATGCAGTGAGCACCTAGGGGTGAAGAGCATTTAGCATGGATGTAGATACAATTTGTGTCCTGTCTTTTGACTACAAGACAGGGAACTGGTCCTTGCTTTGTTGGTTACCAGTGCAGACCTACTCAGCTAACTTCCTATTTGTAAATAAATGCTCTGTCCAGGTGGCAATCCAG